ATTATTATTATTATTATTATTATTATTATCATTATCATTACCATTATTATCATTATTATTATCATCATCATTATTATTATTATTGTCATTATTATCACTGTCATTATTATTATTATTGTTATTATTATTATTACTGTTGTTATTATTGTTATCATTATCGTTATTATTTCACTATTATTATCGCTGCTATTATCATTGTTATTATTGTCATCATTATTATTATTATTGTTATTATCATTATTATTAATGTTATCATTCAAGAATTTAAATGATTGATCTGCATATATGAGCCGTTCATTGTGTAGAGTATGTGTGCGAGTTATTAAGCAGTTATGAAGTTATTAAGCACTATAATGCGATTATTATTTTCGTAAGCAAATCGCCTTTGTTATATGCACCACTTAATTGTTATTGTTATTGTTAATAATATTATAATCATTATCGTTATTATCATCGTTGTTTTCATCACTATTATTATCATTATAATTGCTGCCATTATTATTATTATCACCGTTATTATTACCATTATTACATCGTCCGGTAGGAAAATTTCGGGACACACCTGTCTTAGTACTTGGTTTCAGGAGGCCCAGCACACACAGACGTGTATGGAATCCACTATGAAGCGGATCCTCTGCATATTGGCACTGCTTCCGATTATGGTATCAGATTACCGATAATGAAAGTTGATCCTCACGATGCTATACTTTACCAGACCGAAAGGTTCCTCTTCGAAAGTTGCACCTATTTTTGCGGCGACCTCATTTCGCACCGATTCTGTCCTCTGTGTTCATAGCTTAGGGATGAAATACAGACAGCTTACCAAATCATTGTGCATACAGGCTTGCTTATCTGAGAGATCTGAATGGCACTTCCAGTGTTTTCATTAATTATCAAAATTCGATTGTGTTCCTCCCCACGGTGCTGGGCCAACAACGCCAAACAAACTGCATATGTTAACGCACAGACGCGATTTCAAGCCCTCGTCCTCTTCCAGCCTCCAAGCCAGAGATATTCATTGTCTGTATCTTTAAAATTTCTACAGCACTTAGTTACCTCTTTCCCTCATAATAAGTTCCAGAGAGGATTTCGACTTTTAACTGGAGGATTTCCGAAAATTGTGCTGGCTGTCGTAACGAACGTTTTCTAAAACTTGCTAAGGAAAAGTGAAGAGAAGCTGTTTTTGACTGATTTTGGTTCAGGATGATTATCAGTGTGTGATATATTGGCAGCACCAGTACTTTTTTTTTGGGGTGGGGGAGGAGGGGGAGGCGAAAGGAGAGATGCGCAGTTAGAAGCAAAATGTGTTTTTTTTTTTCGAAAAATTTACCAATTTTTAAAAGTTGAACAAAAATTTGCAGGTATCATACGGCTGATTTTACTTACACAATGCCAGTACCGGCGGATGATGGTGAATATACGCTTGTCCTGAAATTTTGTGAAGTGTATTTTCGCTCCTCTGATCAAAAGGTCATCATTTACCCCTCTGTTTCTCTAGCTTCATTCCTTATGAATTAATCCGTTCATTGGGTTTCTGGAATAGCAACCGTCCGAGTAAATGATAACTCAGGAGCCAGGAAAGCTAGG